TGTTTGTTTGGATTCAATACTGTGTAGCTTATCTTAAGAATTCTTTAGTAGTCCCATATCATCCATTGATTGACGAAGGTTAACCACGATATCTGCTCTTTCTTCGGTTTAGAGAGACATTGCTTGATTTCAGGGGCACTTAACTGAATGTTCTCTACTTTCCGTGTCACGTCTTTACTAAATTTTTCATTCGAGACTACCAATGGACCTTTACAGAAATTGGCGCGTGCCCTCCTACAGCGGCTGCAAAGCATTATGGGAAACCGGAGCGCCAGCGTAGTGTCGTCTGCTCACGGAAGCGTTGGCTCACCCTGTTTCCCAGAGCGCGCGGGCGTACAAACGCATTGTTGCGGGAGTGCCACGTGTCGTAACCCCGCTTTAATCTGCACTCACAGAAGAGGCACCACGCAGAGGAATATAGTCAGAAAACACTAGCATCCTTGACTTATAAATGACTTGGGAAATCGCTTACATACCCGCGAAAAGGCCCATCGAATTGGAAATTTTTCTTGGCTTTCGCGGTGAGTACCTTGTGCTTCGTTGATCGTATTTCCACGTAGCAGAAGCTTTTGTCATTCGTTTTAATGTCAGTGTGACCGTACAGCTTCATTATTAGTACTTTATGTTGAGGACTGTCACTCATGATACGCTTCCGCGCGATATGCAGTGTAACACCATGCACCTCGCGAATGACAATGTCAGAATTCCACCTTTATAAATGAGTTTTAGCTCCACTATGTGTATATTTAAATACTAATTGCCTGTTTCAAATGCTGTGAGTGAGAAATTTTGCCCTTGGGACGCTGAGAGTAGTAAAAAGCAGCTCACATTACATTCATAGAGCGGATACTTTGCATGCAGTATTTGCGTTCAAAGAGCGTAAAACCTGCTTTCTCTGCGTAGTTCCTGTTTCCATAAGTGTGAGTAGGAAATAAACTCAAGAATTTCGGGCCTGACTGCGCAAAAGGTCATGACTAGTTAACAATTGGAAGAAGTATACAACGGAATGAGCGTCAGTGTGCATAATTCACACAGTATTCTATTTTACTGTTTCAGCTCCTGTGATCTCTTGCTTCATTACAGTTTAAGATTATGTTAATTTAGCAATTTGTCGTTTGTATACATCTGCCTCTCCAAGCTGCCCAAAACATACAACCATTCCTGTCACCCTTGCGAAAAGGGCCAAGGACAAAACATCTGAAGAACTCGTCTCTCGGCATATTCAGAAGGAAAAATTGCGTAGCATGAACATTTTTACGGTGCTGATAAGCACTCACTATCTGGGCACAGATGGTTTAAGCCAGAAAATGCTACTGTGGAAGGCTGTTAATGGTCAGAATGACTCTAAAAGCAATCGTTAAAGCCTCATTTAATGTGGGAAAGATATATACAGCCACAGCAGCGCTTACATAAGCTGACAATGTGAAAGAAACTGAGAGCAAGTGTAGCTTTTGTATCCATAATCATGAAATTGCAACTAGCACTCTTTGCCTTGACATAGGGAAAAAAAAAGAGAGAGAGATGCCTAAAGCAAAAATACGTGAGGCCTCTAGGTTTATGGTCAATAAAAGGCAGACACATCTGAGCATATCCATGCAGTAAACAGTAAAATAAACACTACATAACATCGCAAAAAGAAAAACTCGCAAGGTTTCTTATGCATTAACCCAAGGCGACCTCAAGGAGACAGCCGTCTGTTTCTTTTTGTTCAGGCAACTTATTGATCCTCCCCCTCCACCCCTGCAACTGTTTTCCGCACATAAAGTGGCTTTGCACTGATTTATGACTGGAGGCATTCCAAACTTTCAGCACCTCACCTGGTTCTGCTCGGCCTCCGTGATTAGTGAGCCGATCACACAATAACAAAGCAGTGCAAAGCGACGATGTCGTCTCATGACCTCATCATGGGACGTCATGATGACCTTACACATTCTGGTGATCCGTGATGTCACGATGACGTCGTATGTTGACACCATCATGCAATGATTTTTGCATCATCCCTCTTGACACAGACGCCGCGGGACGGCAAAGCCCCCAGCGGTCAATTTTTGTTTTTAAGCGAAAACCTTAGATGCCTCATCAAACGTGAAACTCGACTGTTTGCGTCTCACGTTGGCGACGTTGAGTGATCGAAAAGAACCACTGCGTGATGACAACATATATGACATCAGACATCACCAAAAATTTTGACGTCATCAAAACATTACGTGAATTCACGTAATCCCTTTTTGGAGGCAGTGCAAACCTTGTTAGGTACAGCAAGTTTTCAAAGGGTGGTGTGAATGGTGGCGGGCTGGTGCGTCGGCCAAGGGGTGCAAAAGGGGCACTGGCGCCCTTCAAGCCACACAGGCACCTGCCCACGCCCAAGCTACACCAGTGCTCTCCCCCAGCCACGATGCAAGACGGGTTTGCACCCACAAAAAAATCCTGCTCACAGTCATAGACTGGCGGGGTAGGATCAGTACATCAACTGAGAAGAAAAAGAAGATGGCTTTCGCCATCGAATTATCTTAGGTGGATGGATAAGGGATCCTGTCAGTTTTTGACGAGGTATCTAAGCCTCTCATCTTAAAAAAATTTGCGTAGTTATTTACAGCTAAAGCAGCAAGTGTAAAATCCCAGCCCCGTAATTACAGTTAGTGAGGTCACAGATAGCAAAGGTCCAACTTAGCTGCATCACCACAAACATCAAAGCCATAAAGTAGCACCAAGCAATGTACCATTATTGTACTTGTTGAGGTCTAACGTCCCAAAACCACCATGCGATTATGAGAGACTCTGTATCGAAGGGCTCAAGAAATTTGTGCACACGGGCCTAAACATTTTCGTTGCCATCGAAAATGCGGCCGCCGCGGCCGGGATTCAACCCTGCGACCTGCGGGCTAGCAGCCGAGTGCCTTAGTAGACCACCGTGGCGGGTAAACAATGCATGAAACGTCCAGTGACTTTCTCGTAATATCACATTCCAGAACCGGGCAAGTGTGTCTGCCGCTTTTCTTATTCAGCATGTTTAGTGATGATTACAGTTATTTGTGACAAACAACACAGTTTAGTATGCGTGAATGAAAATCGGAGCGATCAGAAGAAGGGTTTCTTCACAGTAGCAGCTCCATACACCAGTCAAAACCACTCACGGCGCGTGATGAAAGCAGGTGAAAGTGGGAAAACGTCGTGTGCTCTGATCGCCGGCGCTCCGCTCTCCCATATTGCCCCAGCGCCGATCCACCAGGGGAAGGTGCAGCGCTGCGATTTCTGGAAAAGTTCATTCCTTAACTGCTGTGAGAAGTTGGTCAACCTAGTTCAGGCCCTGGTTCATTTCAATGTCTTGAGAACAAAGTAGCAAGTGTGCAAGACAAAATAATATTGGCGTTAATCGGCCTGTCATGCAGATCTTACTTGTAGGTATACTCACACGAAGCCATACGAAATAAGGCGTCTCGGCTTCTTTGACAAGGTAGAAAAACAGCCTATTCGAGCACGGTATGTGTAAAGGCAACACCCATCACTTATTGAAAGAGCGTCACAATTTTCATCCAGTTGGGATTTGCAGCTAACCAGTCTACAAAATTGATTCACAATAGAATGGTACACTCACCTAAAAAGCACGACAAAGTGACTTGATTAGGCACAAGCATTCAGCAGCAAATCCTGCTGTTTTCTTCTTCAATGCCCTTCTTATGGTGTTGATGGCCGCGCTACGGTCCGTGGCAGGCTCCCTTGCGATGTCGGCGAAGTAAACAGAGTAGCTTGTCTCACTGGCGGCAAGCAATAGTAGCTGCAATAGTAGCTGCAATTAGGTATGTGTCAGCCGGTTTGTAAAGATTATCAGTATAAATAACACAATAAGTAACTTAACAATAATATACATTGGCAATTGGTGTAGGACAATAAAGAAAATAATTAATAGTATTGCAATGAAGCAGTAAAGAGGGACATATGGCCATACGTCATGTAAAATTACACCTAGCATATACACCATGCAGACTAAGTGTGGAAGAAAAAATGAACTATGATGTCACTGGTAAAGCACGCTTGATTAAGTCGGTCTCCATTTTCTACTGTTACTGCGTGAAGGCAATTCCATTCTTTTGATGTACGCAGTATAAATGAATAAAAAAATGCTTGAGTTCTATATGATGGAATTTCAACTTCATGTATATGGTCTAGTGTATTGGAAATCTGCTGTGAATGACTGAATAGTTGGTTATGCAAGTGTGGATTATGATAAAGCTTATGAAAAAGAACGAGATTATGCGTTTTATGTCAAGATGCGAGAGTCGGCAATTTAAGATCATTTCTCATTGCTGTTGTGCTCGCAGTGGGACTATACTGAGAGCAAACAAAACGAATAGAATCGTTCTGAATCATTTCTAGTGCCTGTGAGAGATTTTCACGAAAAGGATCCCAAACTGATGAAGCGTATTCAAGCTTAGATCTGGTTAGTGTTTTATACAAGAAAAAGCTTTAAGAAAGAGAAGGTCTTGTAAAATTTTGACGAATGTAACCGAGCATGCTATTTGCTTTATTTATAATGTGTGTAATACAATAATTTAAGGTTAGATTCGGCATTAAATGCACACCAAAATATTTTTACGATAACACAGGGTTCTAATAGTTTACTAATGAGTCTGTAAACAAGTTGACTTATTATTATGGTATAACATTTATATTAGTTATAACATATGATAATTATTTCAAATATAACATCTGCATACCATCTTGGGCCTTCTTGGCTGATAATTATCAGTACTGTTGTGCTTAACAAAGAAAAATGAGCACTTGAAAAAGTGCCTGCTTGGGCTTTTGGTCAACTTAAATAGATGCTGGATTATATTCTAATTATGATGAATCTCTAAAATATGCACAAATCAGCACATCAACACATCTTTCGTGCAAAGAATGTTTATAGACAGCCTCTCATAATTTGCACCTCACTGGGATGTGGGTATGAGAAATACTTAATCTTGAAAATCCAGCAAAACCGTTTTTGCGTCTTGCAGATGAAGAACTCCGGCAGCGCATCACCGAGTGGAAGCAGTCCCGATCTGGCCAGTGAACAACCAATGCATCGACTCTGTCAAGCACCAATGTCAGAGCATCAGAAGTGCGTCTTCGGTGCAGATAATATATTTATTGCACGTGTCGTCGAGGGTCGCCAGCTACAACTGCTTCGGACCAGACTGTTCTGGCTTGCAGAGACAAACGTACCTGAGCCCTGAAAAGTCCTTTTGCCAGCAGTGGCAGCTGCACTCTACAAAAATGCTCTTTTGCGAAAGGAGGTTCACACAGGCTACGAAGGCAGCCAACAGTCAAAGCATGTCATTTTGCAAATTCTCCAGAATATTGTTTTCTGGTCGATGATAAATGTGGCACCAAGTGTCTCTTGATCTTTTTCGTGTGAAGTTTTCCGTACCCAACTTCTCTCTTTCTTCTTCTTCTTCTTCTTTTTTTTTTTTTTTTTTAAGAACAGCCAGGCTATTTATCTGACAGCTGCTTGGGCTAGTTGGTGATTTGGAATCAACATATTTGTGCAGCGCAAGATAACGAGTAGTACTTATTGTGAGAAAGACGATAACCAGGTGAGAAAAGCTAACCGTAAAAAAAAAAGAAATGCGTAAACAGGTGTTTTGTGCTTCAATGCTGGAAGTTCTAGCCTTGGGGAAGACAAGTCCACTGGTCAAAACATCGCCTTCGGCAAATAACCACTATTTATGGATTTCGCATCACAAGCTTCCCCTTTCTGCTGTTTTTTACTGCTAAAAAAGTAATTCAATGTATAGGCACAAGGACTGTCAAGGTTTAAATAACACACATACAGATCTCTTCATAGCCAAGCTCCCCATGCTTGTATATGAGAGCCTTTTATATGAGCAAGAAAAAAATTGTTTCTGTCTGTCATTTGTACTTTTTCCACCAAAGAGGCCCTGAAACAGCCGAGATATTGAAGATTGACAATCTTCAGAGAAATAGGGCAATATGATCATGATAGTGAATAAGAATCCATGAATGTTTTACGAAATCGCTAAAACATCAAACCATAGATAAACATCAAACCATAGATCACAAGTGTGTGCCAATTTGTTGCTCTGTGTTCTAGTATCTCTGCAGAAAGCTTTTGTCGTCATGGAGTTCCATCACGGTGTTGTGAATCAAGCAAGTGAAAACACACAAGCTTAACATTTTTTCACTGCATGTGATGCAGAATATACAGTGGTGTATCAAAAACATTGAAAATTGGTAACCTTGCTCTTTACTTTGCAATATTCTCAACAGCTGCACATCAAACAGGTGCAATACTTTACTCATAGTGTTATTAATAATGTTTAGTGATACAAATATGGTAACACTGTGCACATGTCTACAACCGAACATATACCTGGCGTGTCACTTTTTTGGACACTCATTAGAGGCGGTGTGCCTTGGTCAATTGCTTGTCTCATACTGAGCCTGCTGCTAATGTACTTGCTGATGCATACCCTCTACCCTTGGTGGTGTATTCTAGCTCTCTTCCATGCATTTCACAATTTAGATGCATTAGAGGATATTTTTAGTGGTACAAGCTAATCAAGTAATTGACGTATGCACGTGGCAGCAGCAAGCACAGTTCCAAGTTCACTGGCAGAACATGGGAGAGGCATTTATTTGTCCTGCAGTGGACGTAGTCAGGCTGATGATGATGATGATGATGATGAATCAATTAAAATGCACACTGTAGCTTTGACTTCTTGGTGCAGAAAATAAGTTCAGACTGCACCTCATAGTAGTAACATAGCTTGGCCTGAGAGGATAGCAGCAGAGCGAAACAAATGCTTCAGTCAAAAGTCATTCTTGCATGTGGCAAGGATTTTGCACCATGGATCGAGTGACATAGAAATGCTAAAGCAAGTCATGAGTGAACGGGGGAGGCTTTTGTGAACTGAAGTGCTGGTGTGATGAATGCATGGACACAGAAAAAAAAAAAAAATCACTCAAGATTTGCAAAGGCTGCCAAAAAAACGGAAAGGAAAATGTTTAAGGTAGTACAATAGGCTGCACTTTGTCATTTGGTGTCACATGTGGACAAAAAATGGTAGGCCTCATCAAGACATGTATTTGGGCAAGCTGGTTCATACTTGATTCGAAACAAATGAGCGCAGTAAAAAGGAAACATCAAGAAGAGGCACGAAGTGCCTGTTCTGTGTTTCATTGCGCTCGTTTCTTTTGCATCAGGCAGGCCTCACGTCGCAGCCACAGCATACACTGATGTTGCAGCCATAGAGCCTAATGCTAACTTTCTAAGGTACAGTTGGGAAGCACTTACTACCTATAATGCATCACTCCACTGACTTGCGAAAATGCACGAGAGTCCATATCCTGTGTGGAGCAGCCATAGAGTTGCTCACAAAATTACCTAGAGGGAAATCTGGCGTTAGTGAGCTGCTGGATGCAAGGGAATGCCAGGATATGTGAGGTTCGAACTTGACTCGGATTTGTTAACATCGAAGACGCCCCTGGCTTCACATTAGGTTAGTTGATTTCTTACTAAGAAAGCACGTGATAAGCTATTCGTGTTTTGCTATTGCACAGAAAGGTGTCTTATTTAATACTCAAAACTTATGTGTCGATGTACAATTTCACGAAACATAAAGTAACCAACGGCCGCTTAACTAGGTAGGCAGACAACAAAGCCACCATTCCCTCTGCCATTTTATGTTGTCAGTTTCTTGCTTTCGCCATTTGGTTGTGCCATCAAGATGAGTGAATTTTTATTTTAGAATATATTACGAGTGATCGAGATCTGCTTATGAAAATTTTGCTTTAGAGAAGCCTCATCTGCACAGTCGTATCTACTTTTGAGTTGAATCTGCACAGTCGTATATACTTTTCAGTTGAAGTCTCGCTCAACACCTGCCAACACAAGCCTCGCAGGCATATATACTGTCATTTCCAGCGTTCCACCCATACGCCTCAAGAAATCCGCATAGACGGTAGTGCCAGATCTTTTTCTAGGTATTTTTGTGAGATACTCTATGGGTGCAGTTCAAGTATTTGTTGATTATAAGCACGAGTGATATCCTGCACTGCTATGATGAAAAATCATGGCACAAACTGCATGCGATTGCTCTCGGTACAAAAGAGTAGTGAAGTGTAGAGGAGCGATTCGCCTGCCCTTCAGCGACACTGTTGCTCACGGGCAAGCTTGCACTGGTGTTCCATTTGTGCAGCCTTTGTGGTGTGTCATGGTGGGAAAAATTCGTTTGTGATGCAGTTGCGTCCTCCAGGGGTGAGACGGCTAAGACTAAATTGGGAGCAGTTTTTCGAACAGCAAAATTTCAAATTTGGAGCAGAAGAACTTTGCTTCGAAGCAGTTAGTGGCATTTATTATGTCTTCCTAAAAGCTTGCAAATACAAATTTTCAGCAACGTGGGGGCACCAGTGGATATTCTCATTGGCTTATAATACACATAACACTGAAACAGATTTTGAAGGAAGTTTTTAAATAGATTATCGCCAGGTATGAACTGCACTACCTTTTTACATACCACAAGACATATCTAGCCCTAGTAACATGTGAAATAATATTCAAGAAATGCTTTGTTGAAAACTAGATTCCCCAAAAATATTTTTAAAAACTCGTCACACTAAACTAATTCAAAAGAAATTTTAAAATTATGAGTGCATAAAAATCTTAGTTGTGTAACAGTGGTCGTTCGATTAATGAAAAGCCTGACATTATAGCATCAAGAGCTTTTATCAGACGACGAAAGCACGCTGCACTGCCGTTCGCGGCCACCTCATGCGAGACGACCATCAAGAGTGCAGCGCGAGAGCCAAGAAACCTCGCCGCGCCGAATATATCTCGTGAAGCGGGTGCACCAAGTCATAAGGGAATGATACTGATAACACCTCTCCACGTTTGCAACCACGCGTTATTAATACGGCTCACATTGGCCGGTTCTATATATTATATTTTTAATTTCTATAGGTCATCCCTGTCAATGTAAAACTCCTGATAACTTATCGACTTGCGAGTGCCGCCCGCGCCGCTTTGTGACTCGCGTAATGCACCTGCACAGCAGAGGTAAGAAAATACGTGTCCACGCAAACGAACCGCTGAACCAACCGCCGAACACTGCCACCGACAGAAACACCGATCGAGCTAAGCATACAAGCTCGTGTAGACCAGGGCGAGCACGCATGCAGCGACGCCTCTTAAAACGCTTGTTGCGAGTATCAACAACAATCACCATACATAAAAACTGTGCCACGTGATCGCGGGCACGTCATGAGTCGCGAATAAAGCGCCGAGGTGCCCGTTAATATAGTTTAAAATGGTCTGAAAGCGCGTTCTGTCACCATGGCTAACAGAAGTTAGGTGCCTTTTTCCCTTCCTTCAAGAATAACTTACTTCATCTAACCACTACCACCACCAAGCAGTCGCAGAACGTATCCTCACGGGTGCGCATCTGTACGAGATTCCTGTGGTCATAATGGTGAACTGGACCTATTTGGTTGCTACAACCACTCGAGTAAAAAGCCTGGCGATGAGAATGCGTCTGATGTCAACTTTTTAAGGGGCGAAGCTCCTTATAGCGGCACCCGTTTGTCCCTCGTAGTTGTAGTAGTAGTCATAGTGTGTAACCAGTCTTACATTTTGAGCTCCAAGGTGGTGCCGGTGAGAGATTTCTTCTGTGCGTTGTTGAACAATAAAAAATTCGCAGCAAGCGCGTTAACTAAAAGCCGAATTCTCCTGTCTCTCATTACCCCTTAGCAGCCATTGGCATGTACATTGAGCACTATCTGACAGGAAAAGCTTGCTACGTTATACTCGCTGGGCGTAACCTCTTTGGTTTTAGAAAGGTTTAGCGAGCGTTGGGCCACAGTGCCATGAATACAGTGAACTAGTATATATCATGAACTCTAGGTGGTTAAAGGTAGGAAGTAGACATGAAGCGCAAGCCGTAAGAAAGTGTGCGTGTACCACCTCTCGTTTAGTCCTTGGCATGTCCGCTGGATGGCGGTGCATATGCGGAATATATATGCATATGCGATGCGGTGCATATATGCATAAATATAAATATATATATATATATATGAATATGTGAATATATATGCATGTGGTGCGGTGCACATATGCATATCCAATACACATGCGGCCGCCTTCATTGCGAAGCACTGAAGGCGGCTGTGCAGCGCACGGAAGCTAGCATCGAGGGGCTTTTGGGGGGAGCTTAGGGTGGAACGGGAGCAGAGGATAGAACTCCAAAAACGGCTCGGAGTGTCGTGTGAGCAGGAGGAGGCTACCGCTAGCCTATTGGAGCAAATGAAGGGCGACCTTCGAAAAGAACAGGAAGGGCGGACGGAGCTCGAGCTGTGGGTAAAGGAGCTGATGGCGCTTTGCCCCGGCCCCGAGCGG